AAAAAATCCACATAATCATCTTTTACATGATGGATTTTCCATCTAATATTGAAAATGTAAAATAGCCAATCACTTAGTGAAAAAATTAGTTACATCAACATTTAACTGACGGAAAGATAAAATTGAAAATTGAAGTTGAAGGACGTTTTGGTACTTTCTGAAGTTCAATGATGAATTGGTTCAAAAATAAAAGTTGAGGGACCAATTCAGATATTTAACTTAAAAAAATATGTTAGCAACGTCAACATCACTATTTAATTAATTCTTAAATAATAAAAAATTAAAAGTTGACATTCTTAAATAGAAAATGTTGAAAGTTGACATCTTTATTTTAAAACTGACAAAATTAATATCTTTATTTAGAAAAAATTGAAAGTTGACATTCTTATTTAAAAAAAATTGAAAGTTGACATCCTTATTTAAAAAAAATTGAAAGTTGACATCCTTATTTAGAAACTGACAAAATTAACATCCTTAAATAAAAAAAAATGCAAAATTAGAACCCTTATTTACACCTTTACTCAATATATCAGGGTTAGGAAACTTAAAAAAGGCCAAAAATCCTAAGTTTTGCAGAAGAGGCCATTGTATTTCCGCTCCTTCATTATTATTTTTGCAAAAGAGGTCCTTGTCATTTCTTTAATAAGAAAATTTATAAAACCCCCCTGAAACTTTAGAGAAAATACTAAACATCATCCCTCCATCAATCTGTTAAAATCCCTAAAATTTCAATGGAATTCAGAGAACTAATTCCAAAATTATAGAGTAATTGCATTGGAAGTTTTTTCTTTTTTCTTTTTTTTTTTTAAAGGTAGTACGGTACACTCCGGGAAAAAAAGGAAGGATTTATTCAAAAGGTTTCGGAATGCATACATCTTTCCAGTGCTTGAATCAGAGTGCAATAAGCCTACACCGATTCCAGACCCCATACACCCATATCTTTATGGGGCAGGGTCTCACCGAAGCCTAAAATCAGTGCTCTTGTTCGATATGTAAACAAGTTGAAGGATCGTCCCCTAGGGGACGTCTATTCTTTGTTGTATAATCTATCATTTGACATGACAAGAAGAAGAAGAAGAAGAAGAAGAAGAAGAAGAAGAATCGTCCCCTAGGGGACGTATGAAGTTCCAATCCAAATTTAGAGAGGGAGAGCTATTCTTTGTTGTATAATCTATTATTTGACATGACAAAAGGAAAAAGGAAGAAGAAGAAGAAGAAACCATGTTGAAGGATCAATATCGGAAATGCAAAATTTGAAATGAACAGATACTGAAGATCAACGTCCCATGAAAATTCAGCTCAGAAAATTTCAAATGTTACTACATCCAAAATACCTTAATAATAACAAGTGACAAGGAGACATGCTAGAAGATCTTGAAAGCTCTCACATTATGAATTTCCCTCATTTGATGTTACCAAAATTCATGTAAACCACTCGAATGCGACATGTCCAGATTAAGATGACCGTGCCATAAAAGGGGAAGGGAAAAATCCTTTGTTACAATCCTACACAGCTTGATCTAATAATTAATAAAAGCAGTAACACCCTTGGAACACCAAAGTAGAGCAGATTTGACCATCCTCTAAATAGGCTTGATCTTGAAGTGGAGTGAGATAAGTGAGAATACGAAGCACTTCAAGTCCTGCAACCAGCAAAATTAGGACAACTGTAAGGGCAATAAAACTAAAATCAATTCATTCACATTCAGACATTTAGTTTTCAAACAGTTCAAAATTGGCTTTTGATATGCCTGGTGAATCCTTCAGTGAAATTTTCTATATTGTCTGTGGAACAAGAAATATGCATTAATATCTATAAGAAGTTAAGATTAACATCATGTTAGGGGTTGGTTAGCTGCATATTGTTAGAGAGGCTTAATAATTGGAGAATGCAGTTGCATCTTTCTGCAGAATAGTGTTCTCAGAATATACTCAAAACAACCTACTAATAAGTCCTACTAAATTTGACTAATGAACCAATAACCCGTAAGAGTTTAGCTGACCTGAACAAGATAGTAAAATATGCGAAGCCCTTCGGGATCCTTACTGCTTTGGACATCAACAAGTGATCCAATCTTTGAAGTAGTAAAGGAGATATGCTCATTCCCCATGACAATCTCAAGCTCCTGCCGCCCAACACGGTCAGGTTCTGGCCAGTTGTTATCATCTTCCTTCATGATCTATACAAAATTAATCAATTTTAACCATATAAGAGACCAAGCCAACCATAAGAACTACAGATATGAAAACCCTAAAAGATAATCATCTTAAGCAAAAGAAACAAACAAAATAAACATTAGAAAAGATGGAACCTTTTATTAGTATACCACAGAAACAACCATTAATTATCGAGCTAAATACAACATTTAAGTTAACCTTACTAGAAGAATCAGGTGCATAGAATCCTACTTAAAAGTATAGAGAAAAACAGAAAAGATAAAAGAAGATCAAGCCAGAGCTTCAATTCAGTATTCATCAGATATTCAGAAACAACCAGACAAACAGAAAATATATAGACAGAATGAATAATGAATTTTGAAGAACATCTCTCCCAACTCCCAGTGATGAAGAATTCAAGGGATTTCTAAAATTATTTCCCATTCTCTTTCCTCTTCTCCAGCTTAAAAGAACACTGAAACCCTAGGTGAAATTGAATAGAGGCATGTATACCATTAAAGAAAAGGAAAAGCTATGAAGTGGGACGGAGAAAGGACCTCGCTCTCGGAGATGATGCGTCGACATTCCTTGAGAACGGCGGGGGTGAGGAAGACCTCCTTACGGATCATGGTGTCGTTTTTGTAGTTGGAGTTGTTAGCATACCGGAGCTTGCCGTCCGGCCTGAACTCGAACTCCAAAAACTCATGGCCAAACTTTCCCTTATGCCCGACATAGTACCGGAGATAAAACTCACCGTTATCATCCTCCGCCGCCATTTCTCTCCCTATCTCGTCGAGATTCAACCGGAAAACGAGAGGAAGGGGAAGTGAAGTCGGAAACTCGGAGGCGCTTGTATTCTTCTTCTTTTTCCTCTTGGGTATTCGATCTTTTAAATTATATTTTTGGGCCACAGCCTTTTTTTGGGCTAATACGTTATTGGGCTGATGGATCCATGATGGGCTGGGCTTCAGTAGTTAGAGTTAGGTTAAATGTCCTTGGTAGTCCCAAAGAATTTATGCCAAAACAAATTGATCCCCAACAAAAAAACCCATATCAATTAGGTCGGCCGACAATATTTATTTTTTATTCATTATTGGCAAAACATTTGCAGAAACCATTAAAGGGCTCCTTTTATATTAAAGAAGAAGGTTAATTTTACCAATTGAGTTACAAGTTAAGTAATTGTCATTAATTAAAAGTATAATATCAATAATATGTATTAATAGAACTCAAAACAAAAATAAGGTGGTTTTTTTTTATAAAAGATTACATTATCATTTATTCATAAAATAATAGTAAACAAAAATCTCCAAACTTCGAAATTAAACAAAAATAAATAGGAACAAGTGAACAATATGACATAGGAACAGCACTGCCTCTTGCCTAGCCCATGATGGCGAGTACAGATCCCAAAAGAAGCAAGAACCCAACCACTAAACCATAGATGTTACCAGAGGCACGGGCAGCTCCGCTCTTGCTTGTGGAAGTGGGGGTTGTTGTTCCTGAAGGGGTTGTTGTTCCTGGAGGGGTGCTTGAACCTGAACCAACGGTGACGGTCAGTTTCATGCCGCTGGAGCAGTGACCAAGTGTGGGGCACATGAAGTACATTGATCCTGCTTTGGACAGGGTAACCGTGGTATTCCCGTCACTATAAGAATTCAGGGCATTGCTGGAAACGCAGTTGTCGTAGTCACTTTTATCCACGACATCCACCCCATGGTTGCCGCCGTAAGTAAACACTGTTCACCAAACCAATTCCGGTTAATTTTGATTACAAATTATTAGAAATCCACTTAGCTATGATCAAATAGAATATTATAAGCAAATTCCAATGACTTCCATATATAAAGTTAATTAATTAGAAGATGAAAAGTGTGTAACAGATTAATAAATAAAAATCATCGATATATATATAACGGAATGTGTAACAGATAGAATATGTATCATTTCTTTATCGTTTTTATAAAATCATGATTAGAACTTACAAAGAGTGTCGCCGACGTTGAATGTTTTCCCCTGTGTCCAACTGTTGTAATCAACACCCTGGTTCCAGCCATTGCCGTCACCGACGATGTAATTGGCTGCAAAAGCTACCGGAGAAGCGAGGAGAAGAAGGAGGACAGCAGCTGCTAGGGCCATGATTGAAGCCTTAATTAACAATAATGTGTTTTAAATTGGAGATGCTTAGAAAGCGTAGACACAGAATGCCTTGAAGCAAGTTAGGTATTATATAGGAAACAAAAGTCATGAAATTTCTTAATATTCTTATTTGTTTAATTATTACTTAATTCAGCTGTGTTTAACAACTCTGTTGTGTCCGAAACTAAGGCAGGAGACAATAGTTGAGTAACACTGTGTAGCTGTCATTATCTTAATGAATAATGGGTTCCAATTCTACACCTAATGCCTCTCTTTCGGCTTCTAATTTTTCTCTTTCTCTGACTTTGAACCTTACAGGTTGTGGTAGGTTTGGTTCTCCTTTTCTTCGTTGGCAAGTGCTGTAAAATTTATGATGCGTTGCCTTTACCCAAAAGACTGCTGTTCTTTTTCATTTCTAGAAACTTGAAATCTATAATATATAAAC